TGTCATCTCATCTCTCTAAATTTCCCGAGTTCTCTTTTGTTGAAACCAAGCATAGGATAGAAATCAAAGTAAACCAGAAAAGTACAGTCTAGAATCTTCAGTTTCATAAGTAAAGGCTGTCCAAAAACTGACCTTCAGTTTTGAGCTCTGAAGTTCAAAAAAATGGACAGGTGGAAATACTGTGTTCTTCATTGCCCTTTGGTGCAAGATATATTCTACGTTGCAGAGTAAGTGCCAACAGCAGCAAAATTATCATCCCCTCCTGCTACTGTAGTAAGTCAGCAATGGCCCTTCTGTGGTCAAAATGGCAAATTCAGCAGCAGCTATTCGATAGGGATTTGCAAAAACTTCCCCGCGGCTGTTAGGAATCTTATTCAGCAGTGTCTTTGAAAACCTAATTCTGTGCAAAATTAACTATGTAGAAATGACCTCAGTTGTGATTTTAAAAGTGTTTTAAACAAATCTAATTTGTAATTTTTTTCAATGTGTATTTTGCACTTAGCACTGCAAAGTCTATTAGGTACCTGTACATATATCCAGTATTGCTAAGTTTTATTGTGATTCAGGATTTTCTTTCCATATTAATGTAAAGCCTTCCCAAATTCCTGCCTTTATAGAGTCAGTTCGCCATACAAAGCCACTATACATCACTTAGGTTTGTGATGAAAGAATGGGATTGCAGCTGTGTGAGTACTAGAATACCCACACATGAATTAGACTCACGAGCATTTGGCAATAGTTCAGAAAAGGAGCTTAATCTGGTTTCATCGGAGACTGCTTTTCTCTGTTCTCTAACATCCCCCAAGATGTTGTGTCTGATAGCGGATCGCAACGTAATGGGAGTGACGCAAAATCAGAGAAAGCCCTAAGAAACCAGGGGCACATTTCCCCTTCCCCAGAGATTTTTTTTTTTTCTTCTACTTTTTTTTCCCTCTCCCAGATTCCAACTCTGAAATTCAAGGTCATTCACCTATTAGATGAATTAATTATAAGCCAAAAAGCAGCATTCGTCGTACTCTGATCTCACTCATATCTGTAATTAAGGGTAAATATAATCTTTCTTTTTAGAAATGTACCACCCACCCATTACATTTAAAGTGCTGACTGAAATGAAATAATAGTTCAGAGCAAGATGATTTTAGTTTAAGAAGAAAAAAGTTGATAATTTAAGCTTGAAGCAGTTCTATTTTTGATTACCATTCAGTTATAAATCTAATTTGAGATATATACTGCGTTTCTGTTACTCAAGTTTAATTCATGGTTTGCTTTCTTAGTTGCATAAGCAAAGTTCAGTGGTTGATCCAGGATGTGAAAAAGCTTCCCCTAAAAGAAATGGGGGCAGGGTTGAGAATGTGTTGGAAAGACAGTCTGAGACCCAGATCTCATGTAAAACAAACAAAAATTTTAATTGAAAGGGACCCTCACAGAATGCCGCACACTTGGCATTCGAGTGGTTGTGTTGGGACTGGCTCTCTGCTGAAGAATTGGCCACAGGGGGCGGACTCCAAAATATTTAAACCTGATCAACAAAGTCAGCCTATTTCATTCTTTGGTTAGGGTATTTTGAGTCTTAAAATTGTTTGTCTTTCAAGAAAATAAGGACTGAATAAGGGGAAGGGCTCGTCTCATCACATTGCAGACAGTTAAACAAAATGCTAAACTATGGGTTTAAGATTTACAGGTTAGCTCTTCGAGATGCCACATCTTGCTTCCAGTGTTTCCTGGCAGACTCGGGCAGCTTTCTACTGGGACCCAGCCTAACCGCAGAGCATGAGCTTGCACAATGTCAAAAACCTGAAACCTTATAATCCTATTTAAGGCAAAGATGAATTTGCCCATTTTGAAAGTAAACTTTAGCTTTCAAACTTAACTTTTATTAATCATAGAATTGTTATATATACATATATTCAGGTAGTTAAATTGATATATAAATGAATTCCTTATCCATTTTATGCAATATTTAACTTACCTTATTAAATCGAATGCCATTAACATTTCATATTTGTAAACTCAGGTTTTTCGGCTGGTGGAACATTTTTTATCTTTCTTATTGCTACAGAGAGTTAAGTATGTGACATAAAGGCCAAACAATAGTAAATGGTCATTGTTCATTTCACAAATGTAGTCTACAATAAGAACACATATATTTTTATCTTAATTTTCCCTAGGGCGGTGATCAGGGCCCCCTAAAGTGTTAGGAAATGCTTATTTTTGTTGCATTAGAAGAATGATTCTATTGTCTGAATGAAAAAGAAAAAGGAACAAACAGGTCTAAAAGATAAAAACAGGAATATGCTTTGTAAAAAAAAAAAAAAAAAAGATTAGCACAAACCACTAAATGTTTGTAAGTGCTGTCCTGTCTTCCTTCTAAGTCACTCTACATAGTTCACGTGGCTGGCTGTACATTCTAGAGTGGTATGCATGATTTATTTACAACTGGCCCATGAAATGATTTTTCTTAACTTAACAACAATAAGGTCAGCCATAGGCAGTTAGTTACCTTCTCTTTATCGTTTTATATTTTTCACAGCTCTATTTCGAATGCTGCTAAAATATGGGATAGCAAGCTTGTTTGTTTTTACGTTGACCTATTGAATGCATCTACTTTCTTGGGAGTGAAAACCTTTGCCCCCAGGACCAACAGTATAAACCAATGGTTAAGCTCATTAAAAAGACAAGCAAGTATTTCAACATATTTGCTCAGCCCTTTTCTGAATATTTTATAATTTTAGAATAAGGAAAATGAAGAAATG